ATATATATATATATATATATATATATATATATATTAATATTTATATAATACATCCCAAATAATTTATAATAGTACTCGTATATAATAATATCTATTGATGATTTCCCGAAGATTAATCACATTTACACACGATAATATCGAGACTATATATCGGTAACGTTGTATCGATGTTAAATGTCACGATTTCATCGACTTTATGTATCGATATTTTCGATATATCGTTGCTATCCCTAATCGTGTAATGTCCATGATGGAGGGTGTCACCAGACTTGTTTGTGATTTTTTTGACAGGCCTAAAATTCTGTTACTTTACAATTCATTTCGGAAATTGACCGGTCGGTTTTCGGGAAGTATATTTTCGCAACGGGATGGTCTTATCATGTACACCGAAAAAACAAGCTTACGTTGATAGTTTTTTATTACGTATAATTTATTTACATGTCACCCCCAGATAACTAAATAAGTGATTCGAAGAAAATTAAATAAACAAATGTCGATGCGTTTTACTGGAGCATTGTCGATTGTCATTTTGAACGTTACGTCACTTACAAAGTACGTATATATTATACTTTCTTTAGGAATTATGGTAAAAGGTATATACGAGTTCACTCGACACGACTTATTGTAATCCCTGTACGTGAGGGCGCGCATTTTACGGCTGCAGGCCCGTAAGTATAAAGAGAGAGATAATAAAAGAAAACGATTTAATCTTTTTGAAAAAAAAAAAAAGGTCTTTCGTCGTAAAATCCTTTAGAATCTCTCTTTTTACTCGGTACACCGTAGAATATATACGAACGGTATTGACTAATAAAAAAAAAAAAAAACGTTATTTAAACCCAAAGGGCAAGACATATTATTTTGCACGTACGCACGCAGCCCACGTCAAATTTGAATTAAAAAAAAAAAAAAAAAATAGAAATATTGTGAAATTGTTTTGCGTTGTAGCACATGCGATTTGTGACCATGGCCTGGTATTATAATAATGATAACAGCAGTAAAGATCAGAATAATTTTTTAAGCTAAAAAGGCGTAAAAAACACTTGAACGTGACACGAGTATGAAAAACAATAATGATTAAATGCACATTCAACAAACAGCGTTATACGTACCTACTGTTGTACGATCAGACCCTTAGTAAAGCGTAATTTGCGTGCAGGGCAAATATCGTAATACTTGTAAAGGTCGAGAGAGAGAAAAAAACCGACAAACTTTTGAAATCCGACAACGGATCATGATGACCGTCGCACTCGCGCGCTGTTGGCCAAAGCAAACAAGCATTGAATGATATTATTAATTATAATAATAACAATAATAATAATAATATAATTATTAATTATTATTGTTTATGAATTTGACGATTCAAACAAACAATACGGTATTAACAAGACGAGCGGTCGAACACGATCAAGTGTAGTGCGTGACATGGGCACAACTAGGGGGGCGCAATAGGGTTTTTAGCGCCCCCGAGTTCAAATGTAACACTCCTGCTTTTTTTTCAGATCTATGTAATCTATAGTGATTACAGTTGAATGCTATTTAATTTTATTTTCAGCGATTTCAATATCCCCAATATTTGGGCTCTAGTTGCGAAATCGATACCCGTGTACGAACAGAAAACGGGTGATCTGCCGGGTGCGTAATTCTAACCGACAGGGCCGTAGCAACCAAATATTGCGCCCGGGACGAAATTTCAAAATACGCCCTTTTAAGTATTTCAATTTTTAAAAAAAGTCACAAAAAACTGAATATTTTTTATCGATCTAATATAAATAATGATTTTTTTCTTATAATTATTTAAGCTTAATTTAACCAATAACTTATTAAAATATAAATATACATATTAATTATAAGTAGGTTCATAGGTATAACATAATAATATTTATAAGTTATATAAGTAATTACATAAATACATAATATTACTTTTACTTATAAGTAACAATTAAATTGCAAATTTTTCATTTTTGCGCTCTTGCTGCGGGCTATAACTCATTTGCGTACATTTACCTTTTTACAACTCGTTTGCGCAAAAATGCACAACTCGATTGCGCGA